TAACGCCGCCGGCCAAATTTCTGAAGGCGTTGACCAGCTCGGAACAACTGTCCTGACCTTAGACCGCTTCAGAGTTGGCCACGTACTGCAATTGATGAGACGTTTGGCCACGTAGCCCAAAATGCCGTGCATGCCGCTGGGAGATGGTCGATCACCGCTGAAAATATGGATCATGCAGCAAACATCTGGCCGACGAGCCCCCGTTGAGATCATTCAAGCCTCTCGCGACTCGTAGTTGCTCATCTTGTCTTCAGAGTTGCTCATATTCCCGTTCGGTTTGCTTGTCTGGCTCTCTAAGAAGTCCAGCCTGTCCCCATCCATCTCCTGCGCGTCGGTGCGTTTCTGCATGAGCTCGTTTGTTAATATGGTCCTGTCTGGCGTCTATGGTTTTGATCCGTGCAGATGCGCCAGGTTCATCGCCGCGTCCTCCTGTCAACATCGGCTGGGCACCCCTTCCTCCAGGTCCTGGTGGCCCCATGTGTGCGACCAACGCCTCTATCGTAATTAGGTGGGTGCGTGGCCGTCTATTGAAACCCTTCATTGAAATCCTGCAGTCCTTGGGCCTAACCTTGCCCCGAAAGTCAATATTGATAAACAAATATGTGATGCCGATCATGGCTAGCTTGTGCCTCCTTAAAGTAAGCTGTCCGAACCTCTCTCATCCGTCTGGAACCGCGTCACGGAAATCGTCACGGGCACGTGCGGTAACAGTTCGTTTGGTTCTTAATGTCCTCTGTCACGTGGTCTGCGGTTTGAATATTAGCCCTGGTCTCCTTGTACTTCTGGCCCATCGTTGTGCTATTGTGGCATCTCCACGGCGCACTGTAGCAGCTCCCAATATGAACCAATATCTCCTTTACGTTGATATTGTCTGCGCGCCTCCAACACTTTTGGTTACACCGGCCATTGATCGGACGTGTCAATATATTCGCCATAGTCGTCCTTTCTGTTTTCCAACCCTTCTCACATACGTCTATCCGGGTCCCAAGAGAATGCCCCCAACTTCGGTTCGCCATCGTACCATAGATAAGAGATTCTACTATAATGTGAGCATTGCCTGTATCCCTTTTGATACCCGGAAGCTGAAGTTGCCGAATTGTTCGGCGCCGTGCTCGAAGATAATGGACCTTATTCAACACGGACTCGGGATTACAATGTAGTCAGCGCGTGTGATGGTCGATTTTCTGAAAAAAATCTGGCCTCGCCCTTCGCTTTGATATGTGTTTGCCAAGCACATGTGATGTGTGTGCAGCATTATTTGCCAACATTATGTGAGTGGGGCCTCTTTTCCACCCCATGTGGGGGCCACTTGCAGCAATTACCAAAATCCCCCGAACTTAAGGAACCTACGCTGGAACTTACCATCCGTGAAGAATGCGGGCGCGCATCTCGTGGGAAATTGTTACACAACCTCACTGTCCAATCGGCGAGACCCTGGCAATGCTTCTTGTCTGGCTCGCTTGTTTGGCAACAACAATCCGTACTCATTGATAAACCAGAATTTTGAGTGTCCGCTTCATCCGTGTCGAACAGCTCCCACTCTTCCATGCAGAAAATCTGGCGGGCACCAAGCCTGGACAAACCGATGTGGTCGACGTAGTTTGCTTGTCCACTGCTATTATGCACCCGCTCGGAAAATATCCCCTGCGTTTTGTTATTCAACTCGGGGCTTTTCTCGGGTCGGATCTTCAGGGTGCGCCATTGCCATACTCTGTGGTTACCAGCCGTTGTGGATCGGATCTTCAGGCTACCGTCGAAAGGGGCGCATTTTGTGGCTTGACCAGTTTTCGTCAAACGAATCACATGACCAGGACCCATACCTTGCAGCACCTCCATGAATAAATTATGCGCAAGTCGTGTTTGTGGGTATGTTGAACCAGCCGAAATCGTAGGGCCTCGGGCGCGCATGTAGGGGCCGAAAGTCGCATGCGTCGTCGTGGAAGCCGGCCCGAAAAATGCAGGTGTGGCAAGAGAAAGATATCATACAAGAGTTTGTCCGCGTCCCGTATCGGACTGTCGGATCTCGAGGTGCCAAAACAGGACACCTGCGCCGAAAGGGCGCCTGCGCTGAGAAAAGGGGGGGGGATGATGATCATGATGAGGAGGTGGGAGGGAAGAGGGCTGGGGGGTGAACCGTAGCCGCGAAGACGGTTGGGCTGTCTCTCCTCCAGGAGGGTTGCAAGGGAAGACGAGGAGAGGAGGCCCTCGTCCCTCCTCAAGGGTGGCTTAGTCGTGCCGCGCGATGCGTGCCTCGCGACTATTTTCGCGCCTTCGCGCCGCGCCTTTGCGAAGGGCAGCTCTCAGGCCCAGACCGCGACGCGCGGAACGCCGCTATCGTTCGCGCCTCCGCGGGCGGCCTAGTGCCCCCCTTAGAAAAGCAAGGGAACCGCATGAGCACAGTCCCTCCAGCCCTCTGGGCGTAGGTGGTTTGGCGAGAACTGATGTCTCCACCGCCCTTCCTCGCCGTCGGTTTATCCCTCCCCCCTCCCCGTCCTCCTGGGTCTAAACGGATGGTCTCGCGAGGTGCCAGGAGGTCTTCTCTTCGAGGAACCCAAGACGGCAAGAACATGCGCTTTCGGAGTTCCGCACGGGTTTTTTGGATCCGCGCTGGACCCCCTTCCCTGGCGCGCGAAGCGCGCCAAGTGCGGCGCCGCGGACGCCGCCAGGGGGCTCCAGCGCCGATCCGCGAAATCCGAAGGGAGCTCCGACAGTCGCCTGTGCCGTATGCTGTCCACCCGATGGGGTGCCCCTGTGGCTCCATGGTGGCCGCGGCCCCTGGCCCAGGCCGGAAGGAAACGTGGTACCGCTCCCGGCCGGTGGGCGCCCTCCGCTCCTCCTCTCGAAGCTCGCGGCAACCCTCTCCGCTCCTCTCCCTCCCAGGGGGGGCGCCTCCCACGAACCAGTGCACCACCGTGCTGCCCAGCAACGAGGCCCCTTGTCGGCCCCAGCCGCGCCCTGACGTGCGCGGACCGCCGGGGAGAAGCGCAAGGAAAAAGAACCCAGCCCCTTCCCAGGCCTTGACTGCAGCCCTCCTCCGCGAGCCGCAGCGCTGCCCCCCCAGAGGCTAGCTGCCATGAGCAGCTGCATCATTTCGCCCAGCAGCTTCTCGAGCGCCCGCGAGAACGCAGCCCCAGACCCCCTCCGCCTTTCCTGGCACATCTTTCTTGAACAGCGCTTCGATTGAGGGTTCCCATAGTGGGAGTCGGCAGCGAAAAGGGTCCCACAAGGGGGGCGGGGAGCCCGAGATCGCCCGGTCCAGCAGGTGTTTCTCCTGAGACTTCTCCCTCACACGCTATTCCGAAATCGTGCTCTCGCCTCAACACTGGCTGCATTTTTGGCCTGGACGGCCGCGGTCCCTTGCACAAAAATCGCGCACAAGTGCGCGTGGCCGTGCTCTCACCCGTCCCGGCTGAATCTTACCTAGAGATCCTTAGGAATACATCGGAATCGGGAATATACTGACCCAGGTCAATGCAAACCCGGGTCAGTCGGGCCTTGCAAGATCCTGCAAGATCCTGCGGGATCCTGTAGGATCCTGCACGCAAGCCTGGGTCAATGCACTGTTGGCCCTGCAGGATCCAACAAAATCCGGCGCTCTGGCTGACCCCCGTTTGCATTGACCCCCGTCTCGTTCGTGAGCTCCGAGAGAATGCATGTTTTCACGAGCAGGCCTCCGACTCCTCGACCAGCCTCTTCACCTGTGCTGCTATTCGGGTGCTCTGCTGGGGTAAGGCGAGCTGCGTCCGACCGTGGCCACGAAGGCCCTTCCAGGAGGCACCGACAATGGCAATGAATGTGTAGCCTTGCCCAGCAGCTCTCTCTTGCCTCCACATTTCCTCTCCCCTTCAGCAGGGAAAAGAACTGGAACAAAACCTTTAGGACCTATTGACCCAGGAGGTAGGGTCAGGAGGAGGAGGAGGAGGACCATGAGGAGGACTAGTGTACACCCAAGAACCTTTCACGATGTTGCAATCAGCCCTCCCTCCGAGTTCCCACTTCATAGGTTCCTGCAACAATGTGTTATCATTGCGGCAAGTGCCCCATTGAAAGACACCCGACTGATAATGCCCAATCGCACCACAACACAACTCCTGGGACTCCAACGCCGCGAATCAATGTGACTGATTCGTCATGACAAATCTATTTCGTGCCGCAACACCGTTCCTAAGTGTTCAAAGCCGTGGGTCAACGCCACTATCGAATCCCGACAACCCTGAACCGTGTCAGAACTTCTCTCCTGGGACTTCGGCCCGACGGACTTTTGAAACTGCTGCAAGCTGTTGGGAATAATCTTCCTGGCGCTAAGGCGACAGGCACGTTTTGAAAAGGAGCCACCCTACATCCTTGAAGCTGCTGAGAACTTCTCAAACGAATGTGCACAACACTACAGCGAGAACCGCATGTTGAACACGGGCCGCCAACACGCCTCGAACCGAGTGTGCGCGGCGCTGGGGCGAGAACCACATTTTGAGAACTACCCGACCTCCATCCTTAAAGCTGTCCACATAAGCTTCAGGATAATAAACGGTAAGGAATGCTCGAGCGAAATGCTCGGCTTGCCCTACCGACACGTCTGGGATTGCGACAGGGATGAGGTATCTATAAGGAAAAGGGGAGGAGGAGGAGGAGGAGGAGGAGGAGGGGGTGGAGGAGGAGGAGGAACTGTCGCTACCTACTCCCTCCCCATCTCCCTCCTTTTCATTCATATTTTCCTTCTCTTCCTTCGCTCCCCTTTGTCTGTCTGCCTGTCCGCCGCGTTACTCTTACATATATGCCGGTGACCCCTGGAGCGGTGCTCCATGGGTCACCTGGCACTAGTTTGATCAACCCCCCTCAGGGCCGAGGCTGCGTTCAGACGAACTCTCGAGCCAGGAGGTGCCACGTGGAGGAGGAGGAGAAGGAAAATGAGGAGAGGTCCGCGACCACTGCCAGTGCGCGAGGAGGAGGAAGAAGAAGAGAAGGAGGAGGAGATCAGCAGCAGCAGGAAGAGGATGAAGATCCTCCCATGAACAGCTGCACCATCTCGCCCAGCAGCTCCTCACGGCCACCGAATGCGGCCGAGGGCCGCCGAGGGCCGCCGAATGCCGCCGAGGGCCGCCGAATGCCGCCGAGGGCCGCCGAGGGACGCCGAATGCTGCTCAGGGCTGCCGAATGCTGCCGAGGGCCGCCGACTGCTGCCGAGGGCCGTCGACGGCCGCCGAGGTCCGCCGACTGCCGCCGACGGCGACTGACGGCCGAAGAAGGCCGCGAGAGCACCAACTCGCCCGGCAGCTCCTCAAGCACCCGCGAGAAGACGGCCAGGTCCTGCGGCTTGGGCAGTGGGAGACGGGAGCACCCGGCCGTTTCGCGCGCCTCCTGGGCCGACCGTTGCGCCGAACACCCTCCTCCTGCAGGAAGAAGGGGAGGAAGGCAAGGATGAGTAGGGGGAAGAAGGGAGGAGGAGGAGGAGGAGGAGGAGGAGGAGGAAAGGGAGGAGGAGGAGAAGGAAGAGGAGGAGGAGGCGGAGGAGGAGGCGGAGGAGGACGCGGAGTGGTAGTACGCAGCTGATGAGCAATGTTCGGGGTTACGCCAAAGGAAACTAAGCTGCTTGCTGTAGATAAGGTGCAACGAATTAATGTACACACGTACGCGACTTAGCTGTAACACACACACAGACACACACACGCACACACACGCACACACACGCACACACACACAGACACAGACACAGACACACGCACACGCACACGCACACACACACACACACGTACGCACGCACGCACGCACGCACGCAACCACCACACACACCCACACCCACACCCACACCCACACAGACACACAGACACACAGACACGCAGACACTCAGACACACAGACACAAAGACACAACGACACACAGACACAAACACACAGACACACAGACACACAGACACACAGACACACAGACACAGACACACGCACACGCACGAACGAACACCGCACGCACACACACGCACACACACCAACCACACACACCACACACACACACGCATACACACACGCATACACACACGCACGCACTCTCTAAACGCACACACACACACACACGCACACGCAAACGCACACACACATACACACATACACACACGCACACACACACACACACACGGGCACACACACACACACACACACGCACGCGCACACGCACACGCACACGCACACACACACACACACACACATCCGCACACACCCGGACACACACACACACACGCTCTTAAACGTCGCGGCTCTGCGCGCAACGATAGGGCGTAGAAGCCAGCGCGCACACATGCACACACAACCACACACACAGGCGCACACACATCTACGCATGCGTACACACACAGACACACTCATTTAAGGCGGACATGCCTTCTTCTGGGGGTCAGCGGAATGGCGTAAGCCTCTTGGATGTAGTGCCCGTCTCTGCCGCTCGTTCTCAATGTCCCGTTCTCTCTTATTCGTTCTCGTCCTCGCTTCTCCCGTCTCGCTCTCCCTCGCTCTCCCTCGTTCTCCCTCTCTCCGTATGTTCCTTTTTGTTGTCTCTCTCTCTCTCTTTCTCTCTCTCTCCCTTCTTCCCTCCCTCCCTCCACCTGGTACTGCTGCTCATTAGTTGTTTGTCTCTGCGCGGTCACTGTGCAGCGCCTTTGAGTCCCACAACTTTTTGGCCGGCGGTGCGACCACATGCGGACGCGGTTAATGTCACCACAGCGAAAGAGGCGAGGAGGGGCGCCATGCGGGAGAGGAAGAGGAGTAGCGGCGAGCCCCTCAGACGACGTGCTCGGCCCACGAGTGCCTGGCTGCACCGTGGCCTCGTGGTGGCACGTGGCGCTGCTGGTCCCAGCGGAGGTGGCCATCCTGGTGCCGCTGAGTGCGCCGATGCAGCTGCGCGTGGCGCTCGCGCTGCAACTCGAACTGGTGGTGCTCCCAATCGTGCTGCTCGCGGTCGTCGTCATGACGCCAATGCAGATGCACTGGACACTCTGCAGAAACGGCCACGCCGCCATGTCCTGCATTCCCCTGTGGCGGGTGTGGCCTGCGGCCAGCGGAAAACCATCCACGAGGGAAGTGGTCGTATCTGCCGACGGCGTGGCGGGCGCACCTGGATGCGCTGTTCTGGGCCCCGAGCCCGACATGCCGTCCTGCTCGCCTTCGTCTTCCTCCTCTTCCTTCTGCCTCCCTCCGCCTCTTCCTCCTCTAGCCCCCCTGCGTCCCCTTCCCTCCCCCCCCCCTCCCACCTCCGCCGGCTCCTCCTTCCTCATCCCGCTGCTCCGCCTTCCCCCGCCCCTCTTCACCCGCTCCCTCCCCGGCCCCTCCTGCGCCCTGCGGTTTCGGCCCGAGGGCACCCCGAGGACACTGTCCGGAGAGTCCCCGGGGACACTGTCCGGAGAGTCCCCCGGGGAAACGCCCCAAGACGGCCCCCCGAGGCTCCGGAGGAGGGGCCCACGAGGCCTCCAGCACCGCCGCTGCCGGGCCGCTGGAAGCCTCCTCGCCAAGAGGGCCAGACATGCCGGAGAGCCCCGAGGAGGATCCCGGGAGGCCTCCAGGCGGACTTTGTCATGCTCGGCTTCGGCCTCAGGAGCGCCCAGGGCGGAAGAGCGCTCCCAGACCCCCTCGGGAGCCCCGGAAGAGGGCCCAGGAGGCCCCGACGAGGCCCCAGAAGTGAGACTCGCCTACCACCCAAAGAGGGCTGTCGAGATCGCCATGGGGCTCCGAAGAGGCCCCGAAGAGGCCCCGACGAGGCACTCAAGAGGCCCCCAAGAGGTCACCAGGAGACCCCCAAGCGACCCCAAACAGGTGGCCAAGAGGCGCCCCAAGAGGCGCCCCACGAGACATCTAAGAGGCTTTTGATGCACCACCCCAACACGGTGGCGGGTCCGGCCGAAGACCAGAAGACCACCAGATGTGTCTGCCTGTCTATCTGCCTGTCTGTCTGTCTGCCTGTCTGTCTGTCTCTGTCTGTCTGTCTGCCCGTCTGTCTCTCTCTCTCTCTCTTACTCCTTAGCTGACTTTTAAAGTACCCCCCCTCTTTCCCCCTGCCTGGAATTTGTCCTTTCGTCTGCCACCCTGCTGGCAACGGCCAATCCGTGATAACGCTCGCGATCTCTGGGCAATCCCTCTCGCACCAGGTCTTGTTCGCCGAGCCGTTCGGCTTGTTGTCTGGCGTAATCCACTGGCGGCGGTGGGATTGGGACGGGTACTATGGCGGGAGCAAGAGAAAGGGTGCTGAACAACTCTGCTGTCGCTGAAACGACTGACGAACAACCCCGAACTTCGCGGCAAAGACGGAGATGCAGGGGGAAGGGCTCCGACTTGAGCCAGCAAACGCGGCCACGTGGGAGCCCGAGTCCACAAGCCCATGGCCTGAAACGCGCCCGAACGACGGCTATCGCAGAGGGCTGCCGAGGGTACACCGAGGTCTGGCGGTGCCCACGCCTGCCGGGGCATTCAGCTGGCCTCGTGGTGCTCACCCCTCCCAGGCCTAACATCATCCCAAGTGTGGGCAGCAACTGGATCTCCTTCTGCTGCTCCTGCTTCGCGACTGGGTGTAAAGCGGTTTCCGCGGCTGCAACGCGCAAGGCAAACAAAAGCTTTACAGGTAAACAAAAAAAAAAATGCCTGTGGCGCTTTTTTTTTTGCCTTGCGCGTCGGGTCCCCGGGGCACTGGCCGGGGCGCGCGCGCCGGGCGGGGGGGTGCTCCTCCGCTTCCCTCGGCCTGGTTCACAAAAGGAATCGCGACCAGGGTTTTTGCCTGTGGCGCTCCTGGGGCCCAAAGAAGGAATCGCGACCTGGGTTTTTGCCTGTGGCGTTTTTGTTTTTGCCTTGCGCGTCGGGCCTCCGGGTCTTGCCGAGAGCGCGCGCGTGTAGAGGAAGTGCTCCCCTGCTCTCCTCCGCGTCAGTGGCGCTCCTGAAGCCCAAAGAAGGAATCGTGACCTGGGTTTTTGCCTGTGGCGTTCTGGGGCCCAAAGAAGGAATCGTGACCTGGGTTTTTGGCCTGTGGCGTTTTACTTTCGCCTGCGCGCTCGGGCCGGGCGGACGGAGGTGCCATGCGGACGCAGCCACTGGAGCCTTCGGTGGAGCTGCATATGGGGCCACGACCCGTGTGAGGGGTGTGAGGAGATATGGTCGGGCATGCGGTGAAAGTGCTGACGATGACGGGAGGGGGGAGGAGGAGGAGGAGGAGGAGGAGGAGGAGAGGAGGAGGAACGCGGGGGACTGAACGCTGGAGGCCGATGCGAAGTACTAAAGATGAGGCGGTGTATTAGGAGAGGGACGACGACAAAGAGGACGAGAAGGAAGAGAAGGAGGAGGAGCAAGAGGGGGGACGCAGGAGGAGGAGGCAGAGGAGAAGGAGGCACAGAACGAGGACGAAGAGGAGGACGAGGAGAAAATGGGAGGGAGGAGGAAGGAGGAAACAGAGACCTGAGGAGGAAATTCAGGAGCAGAAGAAGGAGGAGGAGCAGAAGGAGGATAGGAAGGACACTAAAGTCTGATGCGGGCGGGACACTAAAGTCTGATGCGCGTACAGCGTGACACATGAGAACCCTAACGGCCGGGGCGGGACGGGCGGACCCTATCGGGCGGGTCGGGCGGGCGGGCCCTAACGGGCGGGTCGGGTCGGGCGGGTGGGACACTAAAGTCGGATGCGTATACTGCATGACATATAAGAACTCTCACGGGCGGAGCGGGACGGGGCAGACCCTAGCAGGCGGGTCGGGCGGGCGGACCCTAACGGGCGGCTGGGGACAGGCGGGCGGGACACTAAAGTCTGATACATATACGGCATGACGCATGAGAACCCTAACGGCCCGGGCGGGACGGGCGGACCCTATCGGGCGGGTCGGGCGGGCGGACCCTAACAGGCGGGTCGGGTCGGGCGGGCGGGACACTAAAGTCTGATGCGCATACAGCGTGACACATGAGAACCCTAACGGGCGGGACGGGACGGGCGGACCCTATCGGGCGGGTCGGGCGGGCGGACCCTAACGGGCGGGTCGGGTCGGGCGGGCGGGACACTAAAGTCGGATGCGTATACAGCGTGACACATGAGAACCCTAACGGCCGGGACGGGACGGGCGGACCCTATCGGGCGGGTCGGGCGGGCGGACCCTAACGGGCGGGTCGGGTCGGGCGGGCGGGACACTAAAGGCTGATGCGCATACAGCAAGACACATGAGAACCCTAACGGGCGGGGCGGGACGGGCGGGACGGGCGGACCCTATCGGGCGGGTCGGGCGGGCGGACCCTAACGGGCGGGTCGGGTCGGGCGGGCGGGACACTAAAGTCTGATGCGCATACAGCGTGACACATGAGAACCCTAACGGGCGGGACGGGACGGGCGGACCCTATCGGGCGGGCGGGTGTCGGGCGGGTGGGACACTAAAGTCGGATGCGTATACTGCATGACATATAAGAACTCTCACGGGCGGAGCGGGACGGGGCAGACCCTAGCAGGCGGGTCGGGCGGGCGGACCCTAACGGGCGGCTGGAGACAGGCGGGCGGGACACTAAAGTCTGATACATATACGGCATGACGCATGAGAACCCTAACGGCCCGGGCGGGACGGGCGGACCCTATCGGGCGGGTCGGGCGGGCGGACCCTAACAGGCGGGTCGGGTCGGGCGGGCGGGACACTAAAGTCTGATGCGCATACAGCGTGACACATGAGAACCCTAACGGGCGGGACGGGACGGGCGGACCCTATCGGGCGGGTCGGGCGGGCGGACCCTAACGGGCGGGTCGGGTCGGGCGGGCGGGACACTAAAGTCGGATGCGTATACAGCGTGACGCATGAGAACCCTAACGGCCGAAACGGGACGGGCGGACCCTATCGGGCGGGTCGGGCGGGCGGACCCTAACGGGCGGGTCGGGTCGGGCGGGCGGGACACTAAAGGCTGATGCGCATACA